CTCAGCGCGGCCCCTGCGCACCTGCGTTAGGTTAGTCCCGGTGAGAGCAAAAGCTGCAAGACATACATTTACCAGCAGAGTTTGGGGGCTGGAAGAGCCGTTTGGTAGGTCCCGTTATACAGAGACCTCTTAGCTTGCTGCTTAGGTGAAGGTCTTATCCTCATCCTTCCTACGCATTAGGGAGTGAGGGTTATTGTGCGCTTTTATATCAAAAAGTATTTTGCAGACACGCTGGCGTGGAGCAGCCTCACGCACGGTGCCCACCTCTTGCTCAGAGCGCAACTGCTCCTGCTGGAAAATGAAGATATTCCTTCTGTTTCATTGACCTGCCCACCACAGAAACGTTCCCGTGAATGAACCCACGACAATTTAACAACAAAATAAATAAAACATGTTACAGCAATTAAAATTATTATTAAAAGAGGTCTAATAATTGCAGCTTAGAACTTAATAGGATTTGGGCATATTAAACCCTTTTCAAGATGAATTCTCTAATTAACTCTAAGGGCTCCATCACGGCATATTCTGCTTTTGCTGTGGGTAGGTAGTTCCTGTTACGTGAGCAGATCCACTTTTTGCAGGCAGCACTGTTGCCTGTGTGCTTACAAGACTCAAATAGGAGGAAACATTTAGCAACCGAGTAATTGTATATTAATTATCCATAATCTCATTATGAATTGTTTGCAGCCCAGGTAGGATATATATTTATATATATATTTTTAAAGAGAGAGAGAGAGATACAGTTCATGCCTGTAGTGTTCTTCGTTTATGTTGTCTCTGTCTCCTGATCAGATGGCTCCCCAAAAAACTAACGCAAAAAGGAACATCCTAGGACAACAGTAAACTTCAATAAAGAATCTCCAGAGGTGGAATCATCTGCACTAAAAATTGAGAAGCTTCTGCAATTTGTAAGCATCTTCCTGAGCAATTAATGAAAATACATTGCTCCTGTTTGCCCTTCAGACCACCTTTATAATTGTCCTTCTAGTATGATACGTTAATGAGGCTTTTCTTTCATGGTTAGCTTGCCACATGTTGCTTTTATGCTTGGATTCATTAACCAAATAGAAGGAGCAGCTCTGTAGTCTGTGTGAAGTGATTAGGGTTTTGCAGGAGCCCACTGAATCCCCGCGCACATAATGCTGCTGGCGTCCACAGGACCACTCGCATTTGGAGGATGGGGTCTAAAGCTACTGAACTGTGCTGGATGTGGAGGGCTGGAGGCTCGCTTTTTCCATCCTCTGGACGTTCAAGCTGGGTCACAATCCCATTTGGAGAAGGCTGAGTGTGCTTTTTAGCCTGTGCAGCTTTTGATGTCTTTAGTGAAATCTAAAAACCCTTCAGCTCTTTTCAGAGCTTTTTGTTCTGTGAACATCATCAAAACCGTAACAATCTGCTGGGGGCAAACCCAACGCCTCCAGCAGCATCCCACAAACAGTAATTGTCTCCTCAAAATCACTTTGCTGGCTGCCTCATATTGGTACACAAAAGGAAAAAATCTGTCCTTACCCTGGAGAGAGGACAGTAGATGCCTGAAACATGAGATGTTTCTTCATGCGTAAGAGAAAGGAGTCAACTCAGCTTAATTTCTTACTCCCAGCCACACAGCACGGGTGAAAGTTTGGGAAGTTCAGGTCAACAATTACCCTTATAACTCATGTCAGTCTTACACCTATAAATGCATATACCTTTATGTGCGTATACAAATAAATCCGTATACATTTTTTACTTCCTTATTAATGGTCAAAATTATGCCCTGTATTTTTTTGAAGCCAAAGCCAATCCTGCTGTGACAGGACAATTAACCACCCTGTGGTGAAATATTCTAGCTTTGGGGAAGAAAGAGATTTTTGTAGAGGTAAGTCTCACAGGAACAAAAAACCAGGCTGTTTGTTTCAGCCTCTGCTAAATATCCACACCAAACAAGAACAGTCCAGCTGTGAGAACTGTCTCTGGCAGTGGCATATGCCCTCAGTTTGGCAGGTAGCAAACTGTCCCAGGGGCAACTCTCTTCTAATTTAGACTTTTTTCCCCACCCAGCAGAAAACAGAGGATCCATCCTTCTGATCAAGCATATATATGGACAGCATTCTTTCATATGCGTCTTCCCCTCTGAGGTGTCAAATCCCAGCAGCCAAGTGAACCGCTGTTGCCAGCTCTTCCATGAAAGATCAGAGACTGAATTATTTTTTTTCCTTTTTTTAAAAAATTTTGTGCCCAGGGAAATGAAGTGCTGGCTAAAACTTTGCTTTTTAAACAGGCCAACCTCCTCAAAATTTCTTGAGTAAGATCAGTCCAAATATGACTCCCTGCAGCTACAAACCCCACACCAATTTCAATACATACAAGTTAGTTTCTATTGATGCTTTGTTTATAGGCCTAGTGATTATTGTAGAATAAGAAGGGTTAAAAACAACAGTGTTCGTTTTTCACTAGGCCTTACATCAATGTTACAATCTCAAGATCATACTTGGTGTTTCCTCTCACTAGTGCAGCTGTTCGGCAGTTTCCCACACCAGCCAGGTTTTTCTTGGTGTAGCCTGATCAAGAAGGAGCACAGTGTACACGTGAGGGCTTTGCAGTCTCTCGTCTGATGTTACAATATGCTCTATATACCTGTTAAAAGCAGCACACACCTTTTTTTGTGCACAGACACCAGCCTGAAGCTATTCAAAATGCCATAAGAGACAGGCCTGGCTTCATTTAAGACAGTGCTTGAAAATTCTCAAAAGAGTTGCCAAGACAGATGGAGCTGGTAAGCCAGACCTGGGACACTTTGCATTAGGCAAACCATACTGACACTGGAAGTCAGAGATACTTCTATGTAAAGCAGTCCAAGATGCTTTTAATAACAATACCTTGAAGATAAATCTCTTCACCAGTCTATAAGAACTTTGAACACCATACATTAATAACCTATTCTGTGCTTTTGTTTCTGTTTTACTCTTCTTCTCCCTTCATACTCCCTCTTCAGGCATTTCTCTCCCTTTCCAAGGGCCCTTTCACTCAGGTTAGGTTTTGTTATGTTCACCTATGGCTGATTCTTCTCATCATTATCTCCCCAGGTTTCCCTCCCACCTCAGGGCTCAGGAAGGCCTGGCTGGCTGCTCCACCAGCCTTGTGGTGAGGAAGGCAAAGCCACAGCACCCAGGTGTGGCTCAAAGGGACTTTGGTGTTTGTATGGCACCTGTGAGGAGTAACAAAAAAGTGTGCCGGTGCTCTACAGAAACCTATGTGTGAAGTATTTCTGACGTGATCCCTGCCTCCCATAGGAAATATTCTAAACCCAAGCAGGCTGAAATTTGTGCTTGGGTTTAAAACCCTGCCTTGTTCCCCTCAACCATCTCATCCCCAAGCTTCACACCTCTCTTCATGACCTCCTCACACAAGGCAGCTTCTGGCCCTGCTTTCTGGGCTGTCTCCGCCTGCTTGAGGCAGTTATTTGAAATCCCCAACCCTCCTCGCGAAATAAAACCTTGCAATTAGAAAAACGGGCTGTAAAAGGACCCATCCTGCCCCTCAGCAGGGTTTAACGCAGCACTGCTGGCCGTTGAGGGATGGGGCAATGGGACAGAGGCGGAACGGGAGCGGCGCTGCTGCCGTTGCCGGGGAGCGCTCGTCTGCGTGGCGCCGCCCGGAACGAAGTCGCGTTACACCGGGAGCGCATGGAGCCTGCAGCCGGCGCGGCCGAGAGGGGCCCCGGCCCGGCGGAGGGGGGCACCTCCGCGGGCGGGCGAGAGCCTAGGGTCCAGGGGGGCTGGGCAGGGGGGGCCGGCGGCAACTGGATGGCGACTCACCCCACGGTAGGGCGGGGAGCCGGGCGCGGAGCTCCGCGGCCATTCACTGCCCGGGCGCTTACCCGCTTTCCTTTCTTCCCCCTCACCATGGCTTTGGGGAGCATTTCGGGGCGAGACCGAGGGGCCGGGGAAGCGTGGTCCTCCCCTGGAAGGGGTGCTGGAGGAGAAGGTTTTAATAGACTGTTTCCTTGTATTGGCCCTGCTGGGGGGGGCGGTGAGGTTGTTGGGGTTGTAAATGCTGAAATCGCAGCTAGAAAGCACCAGCGTCTTAAGCTTTGACTCCATCTTAATTTTTAGTGTACTGAAAACATAGAGGTATTTAATTCGGCTGTCACCTCGTGTTGATGTACTGCAGCAAAAATAGGTAAAATTCATAGCCTTTCTCCACAGAGCTGTATCTGTTCCAGGAATAGCTGCAATTCCTTGTTTATTTGTTTATTGGGCTTGCTTTCTTAAGCACTGACATAGAAAAAAGAGGTCATAAGATACTGTCAGAAAACAACTCCTGCTTTTTAATTGCCTATTGGACCTTAAAACTGTTTTCAGGCTTCAATGCCTTCTGCTTTCCTTCACCAACGTTATTTTTTGGGTTTCAGTTCATGGAAATGATGTCTCTTGATATATCTGACAGTGCTCAAATCTACGCTGCGTTTGTGGTATACCTGGACCTCTTGGAAGGTAATTCAATGAGGAAACTGGACAGGCATCCTAACAAATGTATTCATCTTTAGGTCCTATTAAAGTTTGTGCATCAGCAGGACCTTTCCTACAAAAGTCCCTGGCTTTCTTTTTGAAGCTTAATGCAGTGATGGGTTCTGAAGAAAATGGGTGGTGTTTTAGCAGGGAAGATTTCAATCCAGTGCCTGCCTGGAGCCGTTATGAAGATGAGGGCGCATATTGTCCAGCAGTTACAGGTGTAGGAGTGTCAGGGCAAAGATACTTGGCATGGAAAAAAGTGTATTGGGAGTAGGGGAAGGGAAAAGGACGCAGAAAGGTGAAAGTACAAGCTCGGTGGTTGTGCTGGTAATAGAGACCTCATTTGTAGATAAAGGTTGAAGTTCCTAAATCATAGTGTTTCACTGAAGTTGCCATTTAGCAGCCTAAATGGCTAATGTGTGCTGGCCTGATCAGGGTGCTGTTTTCTGGAAAGGGGAAGGATTCCTATAGCAAAAAAAAAAAATTAAATTGGAAGCCCGGTGGGAATAATTATGAAAAGCAAAGTGTAGTCTTCCAGTGTCTTATGAGAGTGGAGCAGAGTTATGTGATATATATAAACTTCTGCCTACAATTTTCCCACGTTGGCTTTATTGAAAAGGAACTGCGCGTAGGCAGGCAGGCAGCCTAATAAAAGTACTTCAGTTTCTCTTGGAGGCTGGTGGTTCTCGAGGTCAGGGGAGGGAGGGATTTTACAGGCCAGAAAGCACTGTCTGTTATGGTTACACCTCTGAAAAAAATGCCTTAATAGGCTTTAAGAGAAGGCTGCTGTAGTTCTGCAACGAAAACTTTTAGCCTTGTCCGCTCAAGCAGAAGGGAAGAACTCTATTATCATTAATCATGCTTTGAGCACCTGCTCCTTCACAGTTTAAGGCTACTGATAAAGTCCACATTTGGGTTACAGTTTTATGCTGCAGATGACTAAAACTGTGTCAGTTTTTTATCTTCTCTTTCCTTTTTGGAAACAGCTTTGTCAGACAGATCCCAATTCACCATCAGTCAGTGTAGCTCTGGAGTCAGCAGACTAGTACTGTTCGTGGGGTTTCTCTAACAGGATTGTTTCTCAGAAGGAGAACTTGACAGTTCAGTGGGGCAGCAGTCTCTTGTGGGAAATGTCCTGTGAAGAGAGAGAGGGAGAACAGAACCTAAGACATTAACTTAACTACCACATTTGATATTTGAATGGTTAAAACTTGTGTTTTGTGTTCTGTTCCTTCTCATCCATGGTGAACCTTTCTAGGGAGAAACTGGCATGAGGTGAAGCATGTCGGAGTAGCAGAACTGCAGCTTGTCTGTTTACACGCACGGGAGAGAGAACAGGACAGTCTCCAAGTGATGGTGCCGGTACCTGTGCACATCTCGTTAAGCCATGAGAGGTGAGGATGTGGTCAGTGTTATGAGTGAGATCAAATGAACCATAGATGCATTTAATAGCCTGCTAGTAACTTGGTCAAGAGGGGGAGGAGGAGGAGGAAACAAAGGAGTATCAGAGGAAAGCAAGATCTCAGCCTGCGAGCAGAGTTATTTTGGGTGCTGCAAGCATATATGCAAAGTTGAGATTTCTTTAATCTTCTAAGCTGCATCAGTCTCTGCTTCACCCTCCCTGGAAGTGGTTTGCCTTTGGTGTCAGCTTCCCACAGCCACTGACTCCTCCTGCTAATAAACACTTCATATTGTTTAGAAGTTGCGTATGCTGTAGGAGATAACGATGGACATCAAAGTATGTGTTTGAGAGACAAGGTTAGAATACAAGACCTTCCCAGCTTATGTTTTGAACATTCTTGTGCTGCTTTTTTGTCGTCTGGGAAATCAAGCAGTGTTTTTTGTGTCACTGGGCTTTAAAGTACCTAGGAGGAAAGAAAACCTCATTGTCCTGTCTAAGGATAAACGTTGTTGTTGTTGTTCAATATTACGGCTAAGCCTGGTGTGTTTAGTTTGGTTTGGTTTTTGTTTTGGAATTATAGTTTGACTGCTTTCAACCGGAAATTCCTCTTATCCAGAATCTAATGTGTAACTGTCCCTTGAGTGATTTTGACTGACTTTCCTTACACATGCAAGACTGAATAATTCTCAAGCAGAGGGCAACACAGCTATGACTTTATGATATTACAGATATTTGCAGGCTAGGAAAATTCCACTTCAGTAAATTTTGCAGTATAGTTTAACTGGCCCTTAGAGCAGATACACGGTCTGATTTGCTCTCTGATAACGGCCGCCTTCTCTTGCTGATGTTTGCTATTCTTTCCTATGATGTCTGAAAAATGTACTACCATATGATGCAGCTGAAATAGTTCAGGTCTTCAGTTTCTTCTGTTCCTACCTTCTGTAGGAGCGTGCACTCGGGGCTGGCTTTACCTTGCTAGTGGTTGCTGTTTCCTCTTGCTCTGTTGGCAGCAGCCAGACACGGTAGGAGGTAGCTAGTGAATTGTGCTTAGCATGCTGTAGGAATGATGCTTTAGCAATGCTATGGTTTGGGGGTTTTTTTAGGCTTTAGAAATGACAGATTGGTCTCTTGCAAATAGACTTCCATCTTAATTCTCCTATGTGCTTACCTAAGAGGAAGCAGTTCATTTGTGAGTGGGAAGAAAACTACTTACTTACTTATTGATGGATTTGAGTCCTATCTACTTGCTGAAAAATCTTCCATTTGCAAATACTGGTCAGTCACTCTTGTGGGCTTGGTCTTGCAGAGCAGTAATGGGGTGATCTCCACAGCAGAGAAAAGCTGCTGTGAGGTCTTGCAGGATGAATTGCTGGGTGTCACTTGGCCTTGCTGCAGGAAGCAGATCACTGTGTGTGTGAAGGGGACACACTGCTATTCACAGTTCAAACTCAGGTGGGAAAAGAAGGCAGCAAGTTAGGGTATGGGATCTTTGAGAAATTACACCTACGTGCTGAGGAGTTGTGCTTGTTTAATGGAGTTAAATGTAGTTAATGTAGTTTCTACTTAGGTTGGAAACTTTGATTCGTGGCGTTGCATCAGTGCCAGCAAGTACGTTCTAATTGGCTTTTAATGACAGTCAGACATCGCGCTGCATGCATGTCCTATCTTTCACTGTCTCATTGGAGCTTTTCACTCGGAGCCTCTGAACTTGTTTGTACTGTGGTGATACTGTTTGCTCTGCATCTGGCACCGCCGCGGATGGAATCCATTACGGGAAGGATGCGTGTTAGAGAAGCAAAAAGTGAATGCGTCACATTGACTAAAAGTACAGTTTGTGACTAGGCTTTGCTACAGAGCAACTATATAGAGCCTATTTTCATGAGAGTGAGCTGAATACCAGGCTGTAGTGCTGGGTGAGTCCATTAAAGCCTATGTGTGTTTGATACCTGTAGCTGTTGTGAGGCAGGAAGATCATATATGCTTGTATTTGTGTTACTGAATGTGCATGTGTGTGCTTGGCATTTCATTAGCAGGGCACCGCTCATAGGAGAGGCCTGCTCTGTCTTTGTAGAGAGAGGACAGCATCTACTCCTCGGCTCCTCTGCTGGAACAGTAGGCAAAGAACGGGGTATAGACAATAACTGTAGCTCAAAGCTACGGAGCACAGAAGGAGGCTCTTAAAAAGGCGTCCTGCGGAAGGAACTGGAAACAGTATTCGGACAAACTGCCTGTTTGTTCTGACAGTCATTAATAGTCTGTTGTTGTGATTGTTGATAGCAGGAGGCTTGTTAGGTATCTGATGTCTTAAATGATATTTTTCAATTGGCTTACCAAGTTATAGGGAGACAGGGAAGCTTTCGTATGTGGCTATATTGCCATTTTGTTCAAAGCAGTGCTCTGGGTTTTTTAGTTACCTACTAAAGGTACAAGGTGAGGTGTGAGCGCAAGTGAATGCAGTGTGCAGGTGAATGCTTGCTTAATGTTGAAAGTAAGCCATGGGAGGGGGCTGGGGAGGTGAAATTGTTCTGTCCTCGTTGCTGGGCCTGCAAATGTGCTCGCTGCAAAAGCAGCAAGCAAACAGCAGCATTCCTGGGCAGCATTTCCTCGCTTAACCTGCGAGGCCTGGGTGGGGGCTGCAGGGTGGTTTTCCTCTCAGAGCTGCTTCAGCCAAGCTCTGCTTTCCCAAATGTCTCAGGAAGATTCCTGCTTGGCTGACACTGAGATGTGTGTCCTTAAAAGGCCGTAGTAAAGTTGCTGTGGAAGTTACCAGCAAGACACTTAAGGAAATGATAAATATGAGTGCCCTACCAAAAAAAAAAAAAAAGAAGTCCAATGTTTTTTAACCTGTTAGAAGATTTCATCATGTCCATGACAGTTAACTGCTTAAGGTGAAAGTTGTTCTGCTTCCTAAGCTCACCGTCCGCTTCCTCAAGCAGCTTGATGGAAGCTGACCCCCCTGCCCTGCCAGTGTAAGGCTGCACAGTAACTCGCTGCATCACAAAATGACGGGGTCTGGAGCAGAGTGGCCACCGATGCAAATGGCAGCTTTGTGCAGTCTGAGAAGTGGCTTCATGCTGTGCGTGCATGCTCTGAAAAAGAAGATTGATGAATCTTCTGTGAGTGAAGACCTGGAGAAGAAGAAGTAACTTCTGTCTGGCTTGGACCGCGCTCTCAACCACACGCCGCTGGCTGAGGTTTGGTGAACCTTGTGTCTGTACGCCTTTGAATTTAGCAGCGATTCCTACGTGCAGGAGTTCGTACGTCCAGTGGCTGGGATGTGTTTGCTGTTTGCTGTGGCAGATGACACCTTGGTGCACACCAAGTACGTAATTGTCAGTGCAATGAATGATGAAGCAGTTAAATACAGGTAGTTGGGCAGAAATGGATCTAATGGAATTACATGCTGTCTGTCCTAGGCAAATAACATTGTCTAAGCAAAGTGTTACTAATAAACAGTCAGATTAAATGGTGTGTCATGGCCCTGTTTGGGTTTTGTGTGCAAGTGTTGGAAATGAAGGATGAATTCAGTTACATGAGGTTATGGAGACCCCGATGTTTGTTTTAGGCTAAGAGGGAAAGGGTTATTTTGTTAAAATGGTAACCTAATATTGTAAAAAGAATACGTAGTGTTTTGTTTTAAAGCTGAGAAGCATCTTCAGAAGCAAATCTGAGGACTGGAAGCAATTTATTCTCTTTTAAACCTGTAACCTGTGAAGTAGGTCTTCCTCGAATCTGAAGTGATTGTGCTTGTAAGCAGCACTGCTATTTTAAGTGCACTGGAAGTGTGACGCTCCTTATCTTGCATCCTCTTCAGTTTTGTCAGTCGCTCTTCTGCTCTAAGCATTATTCGTATTTACTCGTACAGTAAATCACACATTGTAAATGCAATTAATGTCTTCTTAATGCCAAGTCTTTATTAGTAGTTTAAAAGTGATTGGCGTGGCTCATACAGCTGAGTTGGCTATGCAGTGCTGTGATTGAACATACTGTAGTTGGTGTATCTTGTAAAGCTTTCCTGAATTCTGATTCCTCCCTTTTGTCTCATTTTATATTTCAACTTCCATGGAAAAAAGGACTTTATATTCCTTGAGGGTGCAGTTTATTTTCCTGACCACTGAGACATGTGGTGTTTTCTTTGGTTTTATTTTTTTCCATTGTATTAAAAAAAAAAGAAGTTTATTCTCGTATACCATGTTCCTTTAGTGTGGAAACAAATCCCAAGAAATAGTAGTGTCCATTTACACCTTCTCTCTCCACCATGTGCTGCTTCCCATATATTTCAAGGCACTAAGTTAATCCCACTGCAGGGCAGACAGCAGTGTCTGGAGCAGCATTCCTGATGGTGAGCCATAAATTCAAGGTACTGTGCTTTACTGGAGGTTTCCTCTGCCTTAGTTCTCTTGTCATGGGGCCTATCTGAACAAGTCCACTATGGCGGCCCGCTCCGATGCACGGAGTAAGGATCCCTGCAGCGGCACAGAGACCAACTTGTGTCGTCTCCAGCCCTGCCTCGCATGGAGGGGAGGGAGCTGTTTGGGCTGGCCAAGCCTGCAATGAATTATTCATCCACGTATAAAGGGCAGATTGAAAGCCTCTGGCTTTTATGGTGAGGAAGGCAGTGGTTCCATTTCAGCTCAATGGAGCACTATGCAACCTCCATAAAACTACCCTGGGCTTTCAGTGTTTCTGCTGCTTCTCAGAGATACTTGCATGGGCTCTATCACTGAAGTACACTTTTGTTCATCACAAAATTGCTCCTCATGCTATCTGTCCTTTATTATTCTGTTCTCTTTTAGTTTTTAGGCAGTTAAAACACCAAGCTGCAGTCGCTTGAAGTTCATCAGTCGTATACCAGTTTCTTTCCCTGCAGCGAAAAGGGCAATGTTGTTTTGTTAGAAGCAGATCATTAGGAAAGATGGTACAGGTTTCTGATGAGTGTTGAAGTCCTACCTAGTACAAAAATGTTTTGTTCATAAAAAGTACTAAGATGGGAGAAAGATGGAAAATTGTCCTCTTTTTCTGTGTGGAGTTGGACAGCGGAGAGGGCTGTATCCCTTGTAAAAACGGCTTCTGGCTTTGTGTAGGAGGTCAAACTTGCATTCCTCTGAATTGCAGAAGGCCGAGAACACTTTTTGCCTTCCCCCCCCCCCCATAGACAGTGTTAGATACATCAAAATGATTTAAAAACTATGTATCTTTCCTGCAATATTTCATCTTTCTGTTCATGGCAGGTAGCAAGTGCAGTGAAAGCAGCCCAAACCCAGATGTTCTCCAGCGCCTTTGAAATGTCCGCTGCTGCAGAGAAACTTTGTGAAGGTGCTGGGTGCAGAGGCTGACAGTGATGCCTTCAGGGGAGGAGAGGAAACACAGGCATCCGATACAGACATCCTGAATTCCAAAGCTTATTCTTTCCAAAGATACCCTCCCACTAATCTGCAGATGTGCTGCCTTGCATTGTGGCTAGCTGCGGTATGGATGAATGAGAGCTCTTGTTTTGGGGCTGCCTGTGTTGAGACAAGGGGCAAGAGGAGAATCTTGCAGTTGTAGCTCTTTATGGTGACAGCAGCCGATTGCCCAGGTGCAGTGGGAAGCATTGGGCTCTGTGGACAGCATCTTTAGCAGATCCCCCTGAGGCAATGGCATGTCTTTGTGCTCTTTACATGAAGCCTGAAACTCAGTCTCCTGAAAAGTAAGTCAGTGATGCAAAGGAATCTCATTAATCTGTTGTCAGGACCTGGCCATTTCTGTGATCACGATGTGTCTTCTCAGCTTAAGTGGTAAATAGGGGGAAATAAAGATTCAAATGTCTGTACTTGACAGTATGAGAAGAAGTCATGAGTGACGGGAAATCTGGATCTAGGGCCTCACTGTTACATCTACATCCCTAATAGAGTAGGAAGAGAAATGGTGACAGTTACTAAAGAAAATATGCAGGAACTTCTGCCCTGGCTGATGGGTGAATACAGGCCCCTGCCTGAATCTGCTTCCAGATATGGGACTGTGCACACTCAACACACGTTTGGTTTCTTTGGGTCCCAAAATATCTCAGGTAGCTGTGCCCTTTTATTTGGCTTTTTATTGTTATTTCTGTTTCATGCTCTAAGGAGAGAGATTGACATCCACAGCTTCCTAAAAGCCATGGAGAGTCCTTTCCTGAGTCTCTGCCAGTAGCCTGGCCTCACCCGTGACAACTTATTACGAGCTCTGTCCAGATATGAGCTACCGAGGTGTCACAGGTAGGGTCTTCTCCATGCATGTGTACCATGTCTGGGATCCTTTCCCAGGCCCTTGTCACCCTCCAGAGTTGTGGCAAGACATTGTGGTGCTGGAGGTACCCCTGGAGAGGGGCTGGAAGTGACAAGAACAGAAGGGGGCCCAGCACCAGCACGGAGATTCGGTGTTTCAGTGCTGTGCCTTTGACACTGAGCTCAGTTGTCCTTGCTTACTGCAGCCCTGGTGCCTGCTCATACACGTGCGATTCACGCGGTCCTTACTGGGCAGCTCCAGCAGGCACACAAAAGCTCTCCCTAGGCAGAGCTTTCACTGATTTGAGGCATTGCTTATAGCAGGATGCATTTCTTTTTTGTGGCAGAGCACCGTGAATTGCCTGCAGCTTTGGCAGGCAGGCTTGCGTCTGCGCCCTCCTTAACACCCACGGCAAGGCCCTCGGGCTGGGGCAGCTGCCAAGTAAACGTGCAGGCAGAGCAGTGCCAAGGTGGCAGGGAGCAGAGGAGTTAATGTCACGCTGCTTGTGAAACAGGAGCCTTTTGCAGGTGCCTGCCTTCTGCCAGTGGCCAGTACAGTATCTCTCTGCTTGCTTGTTCTCTCGCTATGAAGTGTGCTGATAGCGGGAGGACCAGAGCGTGGCTTCTCACAGCCTTAATAGCTCTGTTGCATGTAATGTCTAAATAACTGTATTGTATTGCCTTGCATTATATATGGGCCAGTGAAAGTAAAAGAAAAGGCACTACTGAATTTAGCCAAGCTGAATTATTAACAGTTGAGAACACAGATGGATACTTAAGGGGGTCATGGTCTTAATAGCATAGGCTTTCCGGGCTGCTGCTTTTCTCTGCCGCTTTTCATTTGGCTTTTATTAAGGGATCAAAGAGGTTTGGAAGGAAGATGATGACTAGAGTTTGAAAGCCGGTGCATTTAGAAAGAGCCTTATTTTCAACTACAGTGCCCAGCTTCAGAAATACATGTTTTCTGGTGAATGAGATGGCAGGGGCACGTGAAGTGAGGGGTGATTTTCCCCACTCCATAGCTGACCTCTTCCCAGAGCATAACCTGTCCTGGCAATCCCAGATGAGCCCTCTTGCACCTGAGCTTTAGGTGAAGGACGAAGGTCCCTGGGGGAATGCTTGCTATGGGGAGTGTTGCTATTCTGCCCCTGGGCACTACGCAAGGACTCCAGGAATCAGCGTTGTCCTCAGCTCTGAACTGAAAAGTAACGGGCATGTTATTCTTAAAGTAAGCTGAACAGGAAAAATTGCATAACTTTGTCTTGAAGTTTTAAGGAAGACGTTATTTATGCTGACTGTCTTGAAGAACAACATTAGTTTTGTGGCTTCTAGTCTAGACAGGGAGGTAGAGAAACCTGGCTTTGGTTTCTGGGTCTTCCGCAGGCTGGCAGAGAACTGTAGCACAGAGAGAGACTTGAAGACTTATCTCTACAAATGGAACAAGTCTTAATTATTTTGTTCTCTAATTGAATTATTCAGTTAGATTTTTTTTAATGTGTTGAAAACAAGGCCATTAGAGATTGCCATGCCTTGTGGTAGTTGAAGAATGGTCGAGGCATGTGCACAGTAGTACACCTAAGCAGAGCACAGGGACATGTGCCGAGCCTTTTCCAGCAGAAGTGTATGCAACAGTATATTTTTACAAGATTCTTTGTTCCTTGATTGTACAACTTTGGATTTTTATTAGAACAGAGATTCCAGTTTCTTTAGTGAAAACAAATTTGCAGAATAAACCAGGCTGAATAAATACAGTAAGGGTGCACTTCCACCTTTTTGCCATCATTAGGTGGTTGTGGACTTCTTCCTGACTGATTTGTTTCTTCTTCTAGGATAAGAGAAATCTTGGAGAAAGCGTCTCTCCCCCAAGACGATCCGGACACCCCGCTGTCAGTTACCTTGGCCATAGTTGAGTCAGATTCCACAGTAGTCTACTATAAAATGACTGATGGCTTTGTGCTGCCAGATCCTCCTGACGATTCTGAAGATGCGGACAATAAACAGTGGAGAAAGAAAAGAAAGAAGCTTTTCAAATGATTAAGACAAAGGGACTTTTCTTGAACTACTGTCCTCAAACCTAAACAAATCCAGGAACTGATGTATGTAAATAAGTAGTGTGCTGGAGTCTGCCTTCACACGTGGAGCATCTGTTCAGGGAGAATGGAGGCTTGTGCAGCTGCACTGTAATGAAATGCCACTTAAAGTGTGAAACGGGTCACGCTTGTGAGACAGACTGCTCCTGACTAATAAATGTACTTGTGAGATGTTTCCAAAGCTGGTCTCTCCTTTGTATCTGTTCAGGTACGTAACAGAATAAACACATCCTTACCCGTATTGTAAATACTGACTGAAGGCAAAGCTTAAGGGTGTCTGGCAGGAGTACCGAGACTAAGTTAAGGGCTTTGTAGTTTACAGAGTGTCTTTGTCTTTACGCTGTCAGAAGCATTCGTGCTATCTCCTAGGTTACATTTCTCAACAGTTACCTTCTTTCCCCTCCTCTTGGAAAAGAGACTTTTCCACAGCGATACCTTATTTTATTTTTTTCTCTGCAGAGGAAAAACTTGACTATAGCAATACCAGAGGCTGCTAGAACAAAGTATAGGCTAGAAGTGAGGGGCCTCTGAGTTGAGGCCAGCTCTTCACGTGGAGGCAGGTTTTGACTGGATCAACCACACCTGGAAGAGCTGACCCAGGGTAGCGTTTCCTTTGTAGCTGAATGCACACCACGCTACGGGTCGCCCTCCAGAAGCACCGCCAGGCTCTTGTTCCACACACAGCGTTGGACGGCTGTCCAAGAACCCAAGGTGCCTTGTGCCTGCATCCCGGCGTGATGAAGTTGTCTAAACGGTGACTCTCCCTCTCTCCACGGGTTTCCTGTCTGAAATAGCTTTTAGTGCTTCACTGTGATGTTAGTGCTTAAAGCTCTCTGAAGAGGAGCACGACAGCGGGGCATGTTTTTATCTGTCACCAGCGTATGTCACCTATGCTACAAGTGGACACGAGCTGTTACCTGCTTCACACAGCAAGCAGCTTTCTAAACGCATTGTAATTTCTAGGATTTTTAATTTTTTTTACATAGCTTCTGCTAGTTAAACTGGTTGCCCAAGAGGTGCTTCAGCTAGGAGGAAGTTAAGAGGAAAAAAACCTGACTTTTAGTTTCTTCTACAGGAATTTTCCATGTCTTTCACACAGAAATCTTCTTCAGGTTAAACTTAGAGCTTCTTGAACACAAAAATGTCTATGTGACATTTGTGTGGCCAAGTACCACACAGGCAAAATTTGAAGCACAAGAGCTTTTTTGTTCCATGGGTATAAGAATGGGAGAGAATCCAAAAAACCAACCTGGAAATGAAAGGGTGTTGAAGCTCTACTGTCCCTATGACTAGAGTGGATTTTTCTTTTATGGTTGCGGAGTTTGGCCAAATCCGTTGAGGAGCAGCGTGGTCTGGCAGGGAGCGCCCAGGGCAGGCCCTCACGCCCTGTGTGATGTTGGGCTCTGCGTTTGGGTGCTGACCCTGCGAGGGTTTTGCAGGCGCCCCGTCTGGGTGAGGGAGGCAGACTTCAGCCCTCTCGGGGTGTTCCTGGGCTTGCAGCACACGCCAACCCCTCCCGGTTTTGCCAACAGACTTGGGGAAGGGGGTGCTGTCACCCACAGCTCTGTGTGGCCCCCTCGAGCAATGGAGAAAGCGTTTTCTATTGGCTTTGTTGCTAGCACGATCACTCGGGGGGGCCACGCTGAGCCCGTGGCAGCCTCGCTCATCCAGGAAGCCACTCAGAGCAGCTGAGCAACTTTTATATTGTCCCTTCCACGGTGCTTTTTCTTAAAAATCTCTTTATTGGTGGTATTTCTCACTGCTGTACATCAGAACAGGCCCGTTTCTTACTACTAGCTCCTCACGCGTGAGCTGCGGTTCACTGAGGTGAGAGATTTGGCAGCTAATACCGGCTCAGAAAGGCTTGCTTCTGGCAGTTTTTATTTTCAGGCTTATCCTGGCCTGATCCTACACCGGCTGAGCTCGGACGGGTCACCACCGTACGGATGTGTTAGGGTAACTGGACACGCTGTGCGTGAGGCTGTTTCTGTTCTGATGCAGTCGGGAACAAAATGGTTGCTTTTTTCCCCCATACAGCAAGGGGAGATCGTGGGGCTGGAGGCTTCGGTTATGCAGAAAGGCAAAGAAAAATTCTCGCTCTTTCTCCTCTTATGGAGGAAAAACGTAATTTTATTTTGGTTTGATGCCATACTGCCTTAAAAGGGTACCTGTGTGCTGAGTCCTGACATGCTGGGAGCTTAACATTGATATTCCATGTACTCTACTGCTTATTCCAGAAAGTAAATCTTACACTTTGCTAGGTTACATACTGCTAGGTAAATTGTCCTTGTTATAAGCTGCTGAATACTTCAGCCCCAGTGTGAGTGTGTGGTGGAAAAGAGCGGGTTTTGTGTGAAGAAGGCTGTAACAAATGCTACGCATTGCAGAATTTATATTCAAGTGACACAAGCTTAACCCCAGAAGCAAATTCTTTTGCTTTTGCTTCAGTTTCTGGGAAATACTGCCATTTTGCAGTTTGCTGTGTGACTGATGCTTGGCTTTTCATCTTTCATTTTTCCTAGGCACAGAAAGAGGAGCATAACTTGAGTCTCCTTTTCTGTACACTGAGCACTGCTTACCCAGTCTTCAGAAGCTGAGTTGGAGAAACTGTGTCCGGAGGCTTTGATTTCTGCCACGCGTCCCACTGAGAAATGATGACATAGGCATTTTTCCAACGTCCTTATGTTGTGGTTCTTTATTTCTGAGGAAAACGTTAGAAGAATAAATAGTATCATTGCACTGTTTGTCCCCTGTGTATTACAGTGTAAACAAAGGGATGTTAAATAAGTTCTGAGCCAGCTGCGCTGTGCCTTTACTTTCCACTGAAGTATTTCTGTGTCAAGTCAACAGCGCACAGACCTGGGCCTCTTTTGTGCCAGGCACTCAGTAAAGATGGGGAGAGACTTCCCAGTTCAGAGTGGTAGCGCATTAACATTCCTAAATCCATAGTGTCCTGGTGCTGTGCCCAAAGTATTCGCACATTACTCTGCTCTAAGTGTTTGTGAGACATCTGGCCCTGACACCTTTGCGAATTCATCCCTTATTTCGATCCAGAAGATTTTACAGGCTACATCTTGCCATCTTTTTCAGGTTTTTTTCAGGCTTTATTTGCCAAGGACAGTTGGATTTGTTTTACCGGTCACCCTTGACCAACAGAAGGTAGGTTTCAAAATCTTAAGTGTATCATTTTCCAGTAGATTATTGTTTCAAGTCTCTTCTCTCTTCGGGGAGATATTTGCGCTGAAGCTTCCCCACCGAGTAAAGAATGACAGAAAAGCAAAGTGATGTTTTGGCATGGATTTGACGGCGAGACTCGGTGCCTGGTTACATAAATGCACGTGGTTTATGCAGACTGCGTTTCCTTGCGGCGTTCCTGGCACCGTCACCCCAGCTGCCCTGTATTCAGCCTGACCATCTGCAACGCACACAGAACGTTTTATGTGGAAAAAAAACCAGCGGTCAAAAGCAAGAAGCCTTGTCAGACGCATAAAAAGGAGCTGCGTGAGCAAGAGGTGGCCATGAAACACGTGCTACGGCAGGCAGCTGCCAAAAATTAGTGACTGCTGCAACTTTCCCTTCTCCATGCTGAGCAAGCAGCAGCGTGTGCCAGTGTTTGGGCAGCGGGCTCCTCCCGCTGCAGTCCCCGATGCCACTGTGCTGAGCCGTGTGCCATCTCAGTGTGGGGCAGCCGGGCGAGCAGAGGACGCTGGCGTGTCGGTCTGTGATGTGTCCCTGCTTGCCAAGGCACGGCTGTGTGGCAGTGATGTCGTCCTGGCAGCACTGCCCAGCAAGCAGGGACCAGGTGAAGGTGTGTTGCTTCCATACCGCATCCTAAGCAGGATCCTGTCCCCTACAAAATGGCCCTCAGCATCCCCACGGCACAGGGTTTTGTTTAGAAATCACTCGAAGAAAGGCATGGTCTCTTCCTGTAACCCGTTCTCAAGCTGGGCAAGGTTTTTCCACAGGATCTTTTGCTTGGACACAACATTGAAATATCAATAACATTACTAAAGCCAAGTGATCTTAATCTTTCTCTTTTCTGGGTCAGCAAAACAACACAGCTCTTTTGTTTAATTTAAAACTTGTTTTTTTCCTAATAAAGAGCCTGTATGAATTTATTAATCATCCTACTAGTATTGCAGGTCTGCAGGAATTAGGTGATTAATAGGTTGTCCCAGCCATCTAAACTCTATTAATAAGCCTGCAAGTCCTGCTTTATATAAATGGGTTTACTGTTAATCTCCTCTAGTCCCCCAGGGATGTTTCAGTCCTCCATTATAACCCAATAGTTTAAAACTTCCTTAAGTCATTAGCCTAAGCAAATAAGCCAAGGTAAGTCCAGGCCCCACTAACTGAACGTTCTCAAAGCAAATAGCTTTTCACCTCTACTCTCCTTATTCCTATTCTACTTTCATTTGAATCACCTCGTTGATAAATCACACTTCAGCCCTTTCCATCCCTTCTGTTAAGAGACGTGTGCTTTTCTTCATCTCCCTCCTCTTTTGCTTTCTCAACACTTTTCTCACTGCCTTTTGCGTTGCTGCATCAACACCTCGGCATGCCCTGGTTCTGCAGGACTGGGAGAAATTTGGCACATCCCTGGTGCAGATCCTGCCTCAGCACCTCCAGCTACAGCAGAAACCCAGCAAGTGAGGCAACGCTGGCCGGGATTGCAGAGAACCAACAGCAGCTTGCCACACTGGCAATTAACTCCTGTGCAGAAATGAGGATAACTGTGACCAACTAGGGTTTCCCAGCTCCTCAAAAAGAGCTGCAGCTGCCCCTCCTATTCAGAGTATCCCAGGGGGTCAATCTCTTTTCCATTTTCTTTCTCTCATTTCTCAGATGCTCCTGAGGAACCCTGGACTCAGCCGCTACCTTCGCAGACTGGACTGAGCCTATCTGCTGGGGTGAATATAACGAGCGCTCTGACTGCTGATCAGC